GTGCGTCTGTGGCCGACGCGCCGCCTGGGGCACAGCGAGCCGGACGTGCCACCTGCAGTACTGGCTGCTGCTGTGTCTTTTACTGGGAAACACGGTTTCCCCGCGGGAGAGCCCAGAGCGCGCAGGGACGCGCGCGCACACACGCAGACACACGCACACTCACTCATTGACACACGCGCGCGCACACACACACATACACACTCACGCACGCACCCGCGCCCGCTCGCTCCTTCACAACTGCATCTCCAAACCGGCAGAGCGAAGCTCCGGCGATTTCTCTTAACCTCAGCATCGTGGGACGAAGCAGGGCCATTGTGCATTGGGGAAAGCCCGGTGCCTGCGCTGCCGCGTCGGGTACAGAACCCAGCAGAACGCTCACCCCATCGGGTAAGTCAGTCTCTCTCCTTGTAACCGGTTCGGGGTTGGTGCCTGCAGACTGGAGGGAGGAGGTGGGAAGCTGCGGGTGCGCCAGTGGGGGTGAGGCCAGAGTTGACTTAAATTTCAGGGGCATGCAGCGTCCTCTGGCTAGAGCAAGTACGACTCCCTGTTACTTCTTCTACCAACCCCGGAGTTGCCATCACCTTTCTCCCCTCCTCCCAACCCAAGGTATACTGTGCTCCTTGGTTGCCAAGGAGACTTCCTGAAACATCAGCCTTGGGACATCTGTTGAAAGAACTGGTTTCTTCAATGGTGCTGTTGTTTATTTTGATTTTTTTAAAATAAAAAATACACACTGAGGGCCAGTTGGTAATTTGGCATTCGTTAATCTGTATTCAGGCGATGCTTTCATTCAACTTTAAGAAAAGCGGTAATTGCACTATATGGTAAGCTTTAAAGAAGATTCGTCAGATGAATTTTTCAACGGATGTGTCTTGAATCATAAATTACTCTTATTTTGGTGATCTTATAAAGAAAGCTGATCCCAGTGAAAATCCTTTCTTCCTCTCTACTTATTGTATTTTGCATTTCATTCAGATGTGATTATCTTAACATTGAAAGCAGAAGATAAATAAATTTATCGTACAAGGACGGTCTTCTGTTGTAAATTGACCAGAACAGGAATACATATGTGAAATTCCTAATGTAAGGAGAGAGCATCCATAACACACATCTTTGCTAACATTTCTACATCCACTGAATTATTATTTCAGTGCAGTTTTCTGCACCTCTTCCATTTCTGAGATTTTTCCAGTCTCTTATTGATTATTTGACATATGTAGATAGATGTAGATATAAAATGTGTGCCATGTCTTAATACTCCAGATTCTAAGTTTTTGGAGCTCGTTTTAAAACATAGGAAGGATGCACAGAGAAAGCTTTTTAGACCCTGTTGTTGTTTTCCCTGATGGATTGAGCCCTTTACTGGAGCACTGGGTAAGACCCAAGGAGCAGGCCAGTGCTCTAATCTTAGAGGATCTCCTAATCACTGGGCTGTCGGTTTTACCTTGAGGCCTCGGGTGCCTAGTGGGTGAACTTATTACACAGCATTTGAAAGGGTCAGCCATCTGGTAATTACACTTTGCACTAATTTCATACCTTCGTCACAAACAGAAATGACCTAGTAAAGATCCATGGCATTCAACAATTCATTTTGTTTTCCTTTAATATTTGTTCATCTTTTCTATCTTTTGTTAAACGATGTAAGTAAATATATAAAATTCTTTTTATTTAGACTTTAAACTGTGTCATACAGGATGTAATAATGTGAGAATCAAGGAAGCCAATATAACTGAGGTAGGTAGAGGGGATTTATGCAACTGAAAGGGGGCTGGGAAATGAATAACGATGACAAACATTTTACATTACAGTTTACAAAGTACTTTCTGTATACTCCCTTTTTAATCCCTGTAACAACTTTGTGAGGTCAAGGAATTACCTTCATTTTAAAGCTGATGGGCCTGAAAACTCACAGCTTGCTGAAGTTACAGAGCTAGTGAAGGGGGAAGCTCTTTTTTAGATCTAGGCTCTTTGCCTTTAAAACTTTCCTGTACCTGCATTTCCAGTGTGTGCAAGACTCTGACAGGTGAGATGAAGGAGTGGAGCATCCTGGTAGGAGACACATCGGAGGAAGGGAGATGAGGATTTTGGCTTCTGGAAAGAGAAAACCACTATAAATGGGGCAGCTCCTACTGTAGCTGATTGTTGCCACAGTTCTAAAAATTCTTTTTCACAGAAAACTGAAGTTTCCAGATGTTTTTATGTAATATGTCCTTAATTTTAAAAACTATAAGGAACATATTATAAATATATCTAGGCCACATGTGGTCTGTGGCCTGCTAGTTTGCAATCAATCCATAACTACTAGGTCTCATTCATTTCTATACTATTTTTCTCTAACAAATACATCCATCATTATAAGAGTGATTAAGAGTTTTCTGATTTTAATGTTAAAATCTCTAAAAATGTTCCATCATTTCTTAAATAAAAAGATCCAAGTGTGTTTTTGAGGTTTCTTTGGTCCTTTATATTATATTTCAGAGAATATAAAAGAGCATGACGTGCTCCAAAATGGGAATTTTTCAATCTGGTGAAACAAAAGCATTTATAGTTTAAAACATCTTATGTTCCTGGCTTCATTTTTGTTTTGGGCATAGGACTAGAAAATATAGAAAATGTCAATTGAAGGAATAGGTGGAATAAAAAGTTGGTCAGAAAAAAGAGTATCCTAGATTGTTTGGCTCAGTGGATAGAGCATCAGCCTGTGGATCCAAGGGTCCTGGGTTCGATTCCAGCCAAAGATACATGCCTGGGTTTCGGGCTCCATCCCCAGTAGGGAGCGTGCAGGAGGCATCCAATCAATGATTCTCTCATCATTGATGTTTCTATCTCTCTCTCCCTCTCCCTTCCTCTCTGACTATATATATATATCTCCTGAATCTTTCAATGAAAAATTCCTCTTAAGATTTTAGGTAGTTAAAGCCACCACAGAATATTGAAAATTCCAAAGGAACAAGAACATAAATGGGAACTCGAAGGAACATTCATTCCAGGACCCTGGCAGAGAAAAGTCTGTTTGTTCCTTAAATAATCTTGCAGTGCATTGAATACCTTTTGAGAAGCTGCCTCTTTCTCACATTCCTACTAAAGCTGTAGAGATGTCAGTAGATTTCTCCGAAGAATATCTAGTAATCAGAAAGAAGGGAGGGGACGGGAAGAGGTTAACCAAAGAACATACATGCATATATACATAGTCCATGGACACAGACAGTAGTGTGGGGAAGGCTTGGGGTGGGGCGGGGGTGGGTGGAGGGGGGGTGGGAGGAAATGGGTGACACCTGTAATACTGTAAACAATAAATAAATAAATAAAATCAAGAAGGGAGTGTTATTTTATTTACATTGTTTCTTGTGGACCCAAAGAGGTGTCATTTAGAAAAAAAAGCCAAGCCAGGCCAGCATGGCTCAGTGGTTGAGCGTTGACCTATGAACCAGAAGGTCACGGTTAGATTCCCAGTTAGGGGTCGCCTAAGACCATCCTGCATATCAGATATTTACATTACAATTCATAACAATAGCAAAATTACAGTTATGAAGTAGCAACGAAAATAATTTTATGGTTGGGGGTCACCACAACATGAGGAACTGTATTAAAGGGTTGCGGCATTAGGAAGGTTGAGAACCACTGCTCTAAAGGATGCTTTAATCTATACATATAAAAGCCTAAGCGACCAGCTGACCAGCCAGTAGCTGTGGCGTGCACTGACCACCAGGGGGCAGATGCTCAATGCAGGAACGGAAACCACAGGCATGGAAACATGGAATAGACTGATGAATCTCAGAGGGAAGGGGGGGAAGGGCAGAAAGAGATTAACCAAAGATCTTATATGCATACTAGAGTCCCTGTGCATAGATTCATGCACCGATGGGGTCCCTTGCCCCTGCTTGCAGGGATTGGGCCAAAATCGGCTCTCTGACATCCCCCAAGGGGTCTCAAATTGTGAGAGGGTGCAGGCTAGGCCGAGGGACCCCATCGGTGCACGAATCCATGCACTGGGCCTCTAGTAATAAATAAAAACATTTCAGTTTCCAGTTTATGAAATGTGTTGCACCCCTAGTAAAGAGCTATGCAGATGTTAGTCAATAACATAACAAAGTCCTGGCTGAGTGCTCTGGGGGTCACATGTCTGCCTTTAAGGATTCACAGGAAACACACACACACTGCTCCTGCAGTTTCCATTTTCCAGTCCCTTCGACATGCAGGCTGCCTTCTCCATATCGTCTTCACAACATCCCTATCAGTGGGCATCTTATTTCCATTTCACAGATGGAGAACCAAAACTTTGTGAAGTTAAACTGGATCAATGAAAGAACACTTTAGACCTCAGCAGCTCCTCTCACTTCACACCCTTCTCTGCCGATTACCTGATGAGGTTATAGACATGTATAGAATTGTGATCAGGAGACAGTTGTGTGTTAAATGATACAGAGACAATATTTCATATAGCATAATACAGGGGAAAAAATTTAAAAATATTCTGATTGTGGAGATCAGGTAAGTCCTGTGTAGGAGAATTAGTGCTGGACTTGGATGGTTGAATCTGATGCCAGTAAATGATCCCTTTAGCTATGGTAGGATGGGAAGCACTGCCAATCAGTTGGAAATGGGAGTTGAGAGGATAATGTACCAAGAGGTCTGATACTGATGAGCTCAAGGGATGACCAGACTGTGAGAAGAAATACAGTCTCCAACATGTAGTGCAGCAAGAAGATGGAACTGGAATGTGTGGGAAGAGGTAGAAGAAGACAAGTTGGTGAAGGAGACTAAGCGGGGAGCTGTAGACACAGGAAAATCTGGAGAGTCCAGTATGGATTCTTCTAAAAGACTGAAAAGAAACAGCAAGGGAAGAACCAAGGATTATATTCTCTATACAAAGTCTGATATACTGTAAATGCCCATGAACTATTATGGTGTGTCTTAACATACAACATTTGGCATGTAATTTCCTCTTTTTTAAAAAAAATATATTTTATTGATTTTTCACAGAGAGGAAGGGAGAGGGACAGAGAGTTAGAAATATTGATGAGAGAGAAACATCGGTCAGCCGCCTCCTGCACACCCCCCACTGGAGATGTGCATGCAACCAAGGTACATGCCCTTGACCGGAATCGAACCCAGGACCCTTCAGTCCAAAGGCTGACACTCTATCCACTGAGCCAAACCGGTCAGGGCTAATTTCCTCTTTTGATATCACTTTTCTGTGGAAAGGAAGCCTACATATATATTTTACATGAATTCAATTGGAGTGGACAAATATCTGGATTTTCAAAAATTGGGAAAGAGATTCTTGAAGTTAGATGAAAAAGGACAAATGTATCAATGTAAACATTTTCTTTTGTAGGGTCATAGACTCGAAGATTAATGAGTAATCTTCGAAGATTAGTAAAATC